TTTGCTCGCTCATTCATGTGTTGCTATTCTTGCAGAAGTTTGCATTGACTTTCATTCATTTCACGTTCATCTGTACTGCCTAACCCAGACTCTTACCCTTTTCTAGCATATACATGACCTAAACCTGTAAGTCCCCACAAAATAGCATATTCTTGGGAAATTGGCCTTACACTGTATCCACAAGGTAACAAATACATAGCCCCTCCTTCTCTCTTCCTCTCTCTCTCTTGCTCTCTTACTGGCTGGCAATAAAACGAATGGTGGATTTGCCTCTATCTACACGGTGGCCTTTTAAATGTTTACGACCCAAACTAGTAATTTGACACATGCAAACTTAAATCTCTCTCATGATAACCATGATCTTGGCAATTAAATCATGTACTAAAACCCATGTAAATTATGATGGTGCCACTGCCAGTCATGATTGAAAGCTTTAGCTGACCAATTAATCTCCAGAACCCGCTTTCTGTCTTTCTCTTCCTCATCTGAGAATTCAAACACAAATTATGCCCCAAACACATCGTAATGTTGGACCGCTAAATGGCTTTGTACCATGATTTAAATCGTGTTTCTATAAAAACTTTTTTTTTTCACTTTAAGATGGCTAAATTGGTCAAAAGAAATAAAGGTTAGTCCACATTGTAACTAGTAATTTTTTTTTTTTTTATTAAAGGTGAACATAAAATCGCTTTTGAAAACTGTAGTGGCAAAAAAAGGCACAAATACTCAATTATCCTCTTGCTACCAGTCAACAACACCTGAAGAAAATAGATCTATTGATTGATCAATTGTCACCTATTTTACATTTAGAGCTGATTTAAAATGAGTAAGTAAAGATTGGACTACCTGAGACTGTATTGACGACACTTCACTTTGGTTCAATGCCTGTTAATAGATGGTTCCTTTCCTCGATTTGATTTTTCTTTCTTATTACTAATTTCTATCATTCCTAAGTTGTCATGAGGGGAATACAACAAGATGTTTTAAGGTGGAGATAATTATGACCCAATTTGGTTCCTTTATGCCATTTCAGAGAAAAAGCTTGTGTACATGCAGCTGCAGTATGTGCCACAAAGGTTGCTTATAATAGTCAGCATAATGGTCATTTTATACAAGATACATTAGGATTTCATTTTATTTAAGAAAATGACTCTTAAGGGATGAACTCAAATTATAAAGCTCAAATGGGTCAGCTTGCATGGGAAGTTTCTAAATGAAAGGTCAACACCACGCTGCTACCTTATTTATTTCTAGCATGATGACAGACTCTTGCAAGAGCTATCACCTTTTGGAGCTTTCTTTTTATATATATAAAAAAAGTGAATTAAATTGTCAGATGGGCTGTTTTAACCTAATTTATACCAAATAACACATGCACACATGCATGCTGGCATAGCTTTTATATGTGTGTGCGTTTCACCTTTTCTGGTTCCTGTCCGCTGTGTCGACACAATCCTAGCATTTATGAGATTACCAAAGCCCATTTGTGTTCCGGCGGGAGCCATCTTGGCTCGCAGGAGGCCTCAACTGGGAACCATCTGGGCTCTGCTTTAAGCAGCTTCCTCTCCACCTCCCCTTTCCTTTCTACACTGAGACCAAACCTATTTAAATTTGAAAGGAGAGGAACTCAAATTCAGCATGAAACTTTTATATCAAGTCTTCACATTATGAATGGTGAAGAAATGTTGAAACAATTCTGGGATGTGTCTCATGGGAAGCAGTAATCCTCTCATACGTTATTTTAACTGTATTTTTCAATTATTGCCTGAAGAGATGAAAAATACTGAAAGAAGTAAAAATGTGACAATTCTCACACTTATTTCAGAGCCTTGATTAAAAGCAAAGTTCAACTTCATTCATAGAAACAACTTCTTAATAGATAGAAGGGAAATAGAATAAAATGAAATATTTCTAGCTGGCTGTTTTCTTTTTATATCCAACTATAAGATTATTCATTAAATTACGTGGTATAGCATCTTCAATTAACAATAATTTAAATAGAAATATAACGATCCGTCTTTAAAAATAGCAAGAGTATATGCATTAAGGAATTCCAATTTGAAACTTTTAGCTAAATAAAAACATTTCTCTTCACCTTGATTATATCCTCCTGTTAAACAGTTCTCTGAGTAGCGGCTGAACAAGACGTGGAACATTGATCAGTCAATTTTCCCATCCTCTGTTCAAGATTAAGTAGTCCAATACGCTTCTCCCCACTTTGTATTCTGTTAGACAAAAATATTCCTTTGCTCAAATGAATTCATCCTTTTTAATTTCGCCTTTGACCTGAATATTAGCCTCTTTCATTCTCCCTTTTCACTTAAATACCAGTTTCTCTTTATTTAATGAGGCTTTCAAGGTCCTGAGTACTCTTCTTCATAAATCTGCCATTTTTAATTTCTACCAGGATCTTATGTTCTTTCCTTAAGGAAAATCATCCTTAAGGTTCGCTCTACGTTTAGGGACAGTTATTGTTTATATTCCTGCTTTTTTCTACCATTGATAGACAGCAGTTTTAAGGGGGGAGGGGCTGTATATTGGACAAGTTGGTGTGTGTTTTGGCCTTTGTAAATGTCGCTGGTTGAATGTTTAGTCAATTCATGCAATTTTGCTGGTGTTCACATATCGTGTTGACATTCTTCAGAAAGCCTGTTTGCTATTAATAGTGCCCTGTGCTGCGTTAACGTTGTCCCTGTAGGTGTTGACTTGAGCCATGTAGTCATCTTGTAATCATCAGTATGCTGTTGTCAGTGGCTGGCTAATTTTCCTTCCATAAGGTTAGCAGCATGTGGTAAATGAAGTTTCCTGTTTAAGTGTTCTGGGAAAGACTGCAGACTAATTTGCTCTTTTATTAGTCAAAGAGAATAACTTTTCTACATGGCCTATGACTCAGAGTTTTCAGAGTTGTTTTTTTTCTCTCCTTATTTTCACATTTTGTTTCACTTGTATAGTCAGCTTTCTAAAGTATTACTTTCTGTCTTGCCTTGACATCCCGATTCACTTTGGCATCAATCACCTTTATGGCATTCCTCCTACATGTGAGGATCTGAGGAAAAAAAATATTTTTTTTCTTTGCTTTTCCAGGTCCTTGTTGCATTTTACCCCTGGTACAGTGTTGTCTTGTTTCTATATTTATTCCTCTAATCTCAAGTATTATAATGCATCTTATGTGCTTCTGGCTTTTTTTTTTTTTTATTTAACTTTATCTCCACTTTCCAAATTGACATTGTGGTGCTGTGAAGATCACACATTTTCTTCTTTTATCACAATTATGCATTTGCATTAGGATGGATGTAAATGACAAACACATAGAAATTGAGGTAAAGTAGATGATGGAGAGGCAGATGAGATTTTTGTGAACTTGGATGAGTTGACCTGAGAGGCCGGACATGACTTTTACCAAATCAAACAAAGTTTCCAGGTAGCTTTCTAAAGATTACATTGAAGAATGTTAAAACACATTTTTAAATCAAATTATTTTAAAGAAAATGTTTGAATACTTTCTCTACTCCTTCCTTCCATACAGAGAGACAAAGTCATGCATTTCAGGTGCAAATAAAGCAGAGACCACATCTCTACAACTTTTCATTCACACTTTGCTTTCTCTGCTTGTTATCAACAACAATACCATGTAAAACAAAAATATTTTCATCATTTTTGCTTTCTTTTTTTTTCCTTTCTTGCCAAATCAACTAAAAGGTACTGCCTTTACTTCAAAATAAGAGTCTCAAAATTAAATTCCCAGGAATATTCATCTTGAACTACTTTTATTCATATCCAGGGCTCCTAATACCAATCTAGACCTTTTTCTTTTAAAATCACATACATTTACAGTGAAAGTAGTTATATCATACTTTGCAAGACACAGACCATGTTGACAAGAAATATTTAGCTATTTTTAATATGACAAATCCTATTCCAGGACTAATGGTTACTAAGAAAGACACACAGTAAACTTTCTGCCGTGATTTTCTCCTTTAATCTCAGTTGTGTTCATCTCTCTGGTTAGGGTAACAAAAAAGTATAAAAGTTGTAAACAGTCTGATGGTTTCACATTTGAAACTCAAAAAAAGTAGTGCTGGTTGTACTCCTTGTGCCTTTTGTCAGACAGTTAATTAGCAGCCTTTATCTGCAGATGGGTAAACTTGATCCGGGAAGTGTTAGCTCTACCAAAAGGCAGTGATTGTGTGCTAAATAATAGAACATATAAAGCATGCTGCAATAAAAGCTTTTTACTGTAGATGAGAACAAGGCAGAGCTGTTTACAAACCTAATTCCCTTCAGATTTCCCCTGTGACTGCAGGGCTAAGCAGTTCAAGTCTTAATTACTTGACTTCTCCCTATCTCGAAAGCACACCTGTCCTCTGACTTTCCGCTGACTTTAGGTGTTTTAGTTTGCTAAAGAAAAAAAAATCCTTTATCATCCATCACCTCTAAAACAAAATGTTATGGATAGATAATTAGTCTGAATAGGCAGAATGTGGTTATAGTCTATCCCGAGTGACGCTGTGAGACCTTTTCTACTCTGTCAGCACTGTAAGGTCCTTTATTGTCCTCATTTGTTTATTTCAAGGAGTCTGGGCTTGGCTGTCATTAATTGAATATGATTTACGTTAGGAAAAAGTTGCCTAGTGATGTTTAGAGATTTAATTTAGTTTGAAGTGCACATGGAACACTAATTTAAAAACCTTACAGCCTGCCTTGTTGGTAGAGGTTTCATTGGTTCTTGTTGTCGGAGTGAATAGACACCTTATTGGAAGCAGGCGGTACTTAATTTAGAATGTCAAGGGCTGCAGTTAATGCGAAGATAAGGGCATTGCTGGGTTTTGTTTTGTGAAAGAAAATCACCCCCTCTTCCAGAAGCATTCACTGGGATGTATGCAGTAGAGCAAGGAAATGACATCTGTCTGTTGCTTCTTTCCATCCCTATTTTTTACTTTTACTACTATACAAGCAATACAATTAAACAAGTCTGTTTTTCTTGTTTTCTTTTGCCCCAGGTTGAAGTTGAAGTGGAGAATATGGACAAAGCAGGGAACTTCATTGGCTGGCTGCACATCGAGGGTGTCAATCTGTCTGTGGCACTGGTAGAAAACGCTCTGTCCAAGGTCCACTTCACCGCAGAACGCAGCGCCTACTACAAAGCGCTGGTCTCAGCAGAGGATGCATGCAGACAAAAGAAAGAGAAGGTAGGTTTCATCATCAGCCTCAAGAGCAGCAATGACTGTGTACAGTTGAACATGTTTCAGTGAGAATCTGACGTCCAAAGTCATAAAGCAGCCTCATGAAGCTGCCAGGAGATGAACATCCCTCACTTTAATGCCACTGTAAATTTCATTCAGGCAAAACCAAGATAGTATCTAGGTTAGTTTTGTTTTGTTGTACTGGAAGCTGAAGATATCATCTTGCACAACCAATAGTGTCATTTATCTTTGCCCTCTTATTGAAATATACAGTTGTCACTGGAAGCAGAACCTTGAGGGGGGGAAAAAAAAAATCAGTATATATTTTTCCTCCTGTCATGTCTGAGATGTGGTGTTCTAGGCAAGGCTGCGAGTTTGTCATCCTGAGTTTGATACCTTGCAAAATGCAAAGTGTCATCCCGTTTTCCTGCTTGCTATGTTATTTATCTGTAATTTATAGGTATGCAAAATGCTGAGTATTAAAGGAATAAAGTTTTTTAAGAAATTAAGTTATTAAAAGTACTCTAAATTATAGAGATTTCTTTCATTTTTTTATGGAAAATGGCATCATGTCATATAGGTTCTGGTCCTGTTAGAAGACCTTATTTTTCATCCGACGGTTACGAACTTCATGATATTCTGATTTGTTTGCAAAAAAAAAATGCCAACCCCTTGTGTTAAATTGAAAGCTGGAGTTTTTATGGTTGAATTCTTTACCAGCTTTGCATAATGTATCTAGAGACAGACAAGTTTTCCAATTCACCCCTTCAAAATGGTTCAAACTTTGTGATTTTGAGCAACAGTTTAGCTTAGCTGTAGCAGGTCCCTGCTGTGCGATACTGACACCACCATGTTTAACATTAGGACATGGCTAAACTACAGATCTCTGCTGCTTCTCCAGAGTTACCTTAGGCTGCTATGCATTTTCTCAGATTAATATTATCCTTCCTCAAGCTCTCTGTAAAAGGTTTGAACACTAGTCATAACTGAATTTCTCCATAACTTTTGCATTAGGCTCTACATGTTTACTAATGTTCTCTAACAAACCTCTGCTACCTTTACAGAATAGCTATATTTATTCTGTGATTAAATTACAAACCGGTGCAGTCTATTTACTTACAATGTGATTTCTGAAGGCAGTTGGTTGTCCTGGATTTTATGTAGTGGTACAAAAGTGGAGAAAGTTTATTTCCTTAAATACTGTCCTAAAATTTGTGGTTTTAAGCAAACAAAATGTGAAACTGTTCCAGGTGTACCACCTGCAATTTAGTCCAGGTTATTTGAACATATAATCAGAAGCAGTTGTATGTAGAGCTTTAATATTGTGAAGTTCCCCCATCCAGGGTTGCAAATGGGTATATTTGCTGTTATCATTGAAGCTGTCTATCCTCAATGGGAGTTCTGTGATGGATGGTGGCCTCTCTCACAGTGATCCTGATCTTGCCTTGCATTTTCATTATGGCTCCACGAGTCACCCCTGGCAGATGCACAAAGTGCCCAGCCAGCTGTCAATGTTGTCCTCCTTCTCTCTGTCTGTGTAACTTATTTCTTTCACTTGCTCTGTCTTTCTCTCTCTCCCACTCTCTACTTATTTCGGTCCTTGAGGACACACAAATGCCTCCTCATCCCATATAAATGTGATGTATCGCCAGAGCTAAGAAGAGGTTGTTCTCTCTCACTCCGAAAAATCTATCATGTTCATAGTTGCTGTGTTCCTGTGGTGTTGTTTGCTTTCGGCTCTTTCTTTTGTTACAATTACTCTCCATCTGTGGATTCCCCTCCCTCAAAACACTGGCAGAGGGAGATGAATATCTCTAGAGTGGTCCGCAGGTCAGCCTTTACTTCTTTGAGGGGAAAAAAAAAAAAGGAAATAGATCTCTCTGGCCATATGAACACTCAGACCCTGCCATGTTCAGTTTCACCACACCTTCCTGACGGCTCTAAGAATTTCAACACAGGTTTCTAGGTCCTGCTTTGCAATGTTGAGACAGGCTGACTTTAAACACAAGGTTTTGAATTGAACTGACCTGAGGTAAGATGGCAGAATGAGGCCTGGATTGACCAGACAGATGGTGATTATGGTTGATGTTAGTGTGCCAGAGGCATCAGTGGACAGATCAGCTCCAGCCTGGTTTGTTGTGAACAGTTTGGTGTTTGTACTGTGCAGGGTTCCTCAGTTTAGCATCAGTGCATGCTATGCAACTTGAAGGCAGATGAGGTGGGATTTGGGGCTCTAATTAACCCTTCGAGACCATCTTGAGAAAAGCTGAGAGCTTGGCAGTTTTTTCCCCAGTCTTTTTCTTTTGAAGTAGTGGCTGGTCCTTGTCTGTGTTGGTCTGTTGTGAGGTAGGGCAGGCTGCATCCTTCACCATCTCCTTTCCTGTTTCTATTTGCCTTTTCTTCGTCCCTACGGCTGTAGATGCGGAAGATATCAGTTGTTGCTGTGTCAGGCGTCTCTACAAGAAAACAAGGTTGTCTTAATAAACTGAAGGATGTGCGGAGCTTGCAACACTCACACACAAACTAACACATTTATGAAGGAAAAGTTTGTGTTGGTGGTCCAGCAGGGACAACAAGGGGGGGGAGAGGCTTGCTGCTGTAGCATCCTACACCAAAACTGCTTAGCTGTATTGTCTTAAGTGGATATGAGATTTTGCTAAAATGAGACCAATGGGACAAAGTGATTGTGTTTTAATTGAGGAATTCGAAAGGGTTGGATCATGAGTCTTTCCCAGAGTTCAGCATGTTTAATCTCACCTATCAACTCCTCTCGGAACAATATATGGGACACCCTATGAATGAGACCTTTACATAGGGATGTTCCGTAATCAAATATTTTAATGTATCGCAATATAATTTTATTCAATGACGATGAAATGACATTTGAACACATTTTTGGTATTTCGATGTACCTGGTGATATGGTTTTTATGGCGCTTGTCACTGACTTACGTTCTGGGCACAGGCTTTTCAGGTCGAACAGAAAGAGTCACAGTTCATTGGCTACATTAGCGATGAAACCATAGAGAAGGAGCCTGTGCTTGCCATTATAACTCCCCTGAAACAGTTTATGAACGCTTAAATTAACTTAAATGTCGAAACCTGCCAGCAAAATATGCTCACTTTTCTTATTCTGGTGCCTGCAGTTTGGATTGCGTACATAAAAAAAAACACCTTCCTGCCGCCGCAAACAGTAGCGGAAAATCGCCAAGAGGCGACCGGCCCAGAGGCTGCCGTTAAACGGGATTTCCAGTGACAGAGCACCACCGGTGTGTGGGAGACTGAGCGGCCTTGACACCGAAATAGTATTTGAAGGCAGGATCATAATGTTGATGAACTGACTGTTTTGGGGTGGACTTCCTCACTTAAAAACCTATTAAAACTACTTTTTACCCACTGATTACAGCAAATATAGCCAAGCCACTATCTGCCATTGAACGCAGGAGCAGCACAAGCATCAGACCCATCTGGATACACTTTAGTGGACACACTTCAGGAGCGTCAAAGATGTTGTTGAGGTGCGTCAGACCTTAATATGTACAAGCATCAAAGATGAAGCAGCAGAATCTTTTTTGCTGCTTCCACGGCTTGCGGTCTAAACAAAGCATTAAAGAAATAGGTGGTCACAGAGCTTAAAGTTAGCTTGGGTAGAAAAGTTGAGTGCAGTCTTTAAAACAAGAAGAGAGCACAAGCTTGTCACCACAGACAGGGAGCCATCCTGTGACAATATGGGATGTGTGAATTGATTAATTTTGTTTTGACAGAGCCGATCCCTGCTGAGATAAAGGGTTGGTTCAAACATTACTAATGGTGTCATTAGGGATTGCTTTTGTTCTTACTAAAAATGAGAAGCACAAAATAAACAAGGGTTTTATTAAAAAACAAAAATGGTAAATCAAGTCTAGAGTAGGGGGCTATGACTGAGAGAGGAAGAAATTAATTTTTTAGAATTAATTTGGGAACTTCAGATTGTATTTTCAGAGCTATAAATGAGTTGTCTCCCATTTTATTATAGTGATTGTGAACATGGTCTTGGACATATGATAGTCAACCACCAGAAAATAAAGGAGCCAATAACCTAAAGAAAGTAAGACAGGCAATAACCTCTGCATCAGTGTCAAGAAGGCTAAGGAGATGGTGGTGGATTTTTGAAGGGACAAAGATCCTCTTCATCTCTTCTACCTCGGAGGAGGAGCCATGGAGGTTTTGTCCAGCTACAGGCACCTGGGTGTGGATTTATCCGGGCTTCACCTGGAGCGCCAACACTTCCTCTCTGGAAGTGTCTCTGGCCGTTTCTCAATTCCCAAGAACGAGTACAGACTCGTGTTCTCGCCAAGTCTGTTCTTGAGAATAACACAGGAAAGTATGGACTCTGGGAGAATGGGAGCACGCAGCATAAATCTGGGTCAATTGGAACAGAAGCGTACTGATGTCACCACATGCTTGGCTAGTCTGGAGCTGCATTTCACCTCCTGTTATTAACGGTTTCTTGATGATAATAAATTCTAACTTTTTTCATTTATTGGGGGAATAATAATTAACAAAGACAATAAGCACACATTAAATAAATGCTTTGCCAAATATGCCAGCGAGCTGCTGCAGACTGGCTAACTTTAGCCCTGGCTAAAGTTCTCTCAACACGGTCCTCTCAACATCTGAACCTTTTTTTAATTAGGCACTACATCAGTAAATGGGCCATATGGTGATGCTTAAAAGTATAATGTTCTCACCTCAAATTATCTTAAAACGTACTTTTATAGAACAACGGCAACAGAAAAGCGAACTTTTAACTTAATACTCTGAGCTCTGTGTGTGCTAACCTGGAAGCTGCCGCTGCAGCAGTGCATGCTGGGACAGCTGTCAATCTTCAGAACGGACAAGTCTGCTCTGATGCATACTCTGTAAAGAGGGAGCGGCGAGGACAACATCTGGGGACTTTGTCCGTTCTCGATCTTCTATTCTTGCGTATTGGAACAGTACTAGGCGTTTCACAAGGACATGAAAACG